TTTAGTTTTTAGTTTTAGGTGCTTTCAGTGGAGTATCTCTCCCCCTCTTTATGTATGGTATATACACAATTATATGTATATAGAGTTTTTTTTTGTAATGGATTTGTCTTTGTTGGTGCAGAAATCTTCTCATGGAGAATATAAGAGCTTTGAATTTAAATAAGCTCATGATTTTGTCAAGGATGCAAGTATGACAATCTGGTATACCGGGAGCATATGATTGTTTAGGCATAACCATGCAACGGTTACATCCCAAGCTAGATGTTGTGAGAGTTATGTGATTGATTAATTCTATCGCTCACGAGAAATTTTTTTTTTCTGTGGACATAAGTGACTATAATAGTCATGAGGATCGTACGGTCTCTTCTACAAAACTTTTGCTCTATTTTAAGAATTGAAATGTGTTTTAAAAGTTTTAACATTGGGACCATTACAAGATCTTTCTGCTTCATTTTCAAAGTACAACACATGAGACAGGTAATGAGAAATATTTTGGTTACAATGTGATCTCTCCACCAAAATCTCCTCCATGATGACAAATTGACAATAAAATTTTAGTTTATAGTTTCACTTGCAAAAAATGTTTAGTTGACATCTTGAGTCAAGATGAATATAATTTTACAACTACATAAGATGTATCTAACTTTATATTAAAAAACATAAAAATAAAAAATAACTAACAACAAAAAGTATCAACGGAAATTTTAACAATTTTTAAAACAAAAGCCCACGCGTAGCGTGGGTACTCACCTAGTGAAAATATGAAACTTGAAATTTTATATATTTTAATAGTTTTGTTAAACATGAATAATAACTTAATTTGGAAAAAAGTTCTAATTTTAAAATATTAAGAATGTAATACATTTAATATTTTTATCAAATATAATTATTATATAAAAGCATAAGCTAATAAAATAAATTTGTTCGAAATAGAATTTCATCATTGGATTACTCCACCAAGCCACGCCTGCGTCTGTTGCTGCAACGGTGGCTCATGGTTAAGCCATAGAAGTCTACGAGTTCTCTATGTTACGAGCATGCTCTGTTTTTTTATTCACTTCCTATGCTCTGTTTTTGTAGTCTCCTTCTTTCAAAACATTGTAAATATTTTCCCATTGTGAAATATAAATTACACATTTCAACAAAAAATAAAATAAAATAAACTTGGTAAATTTTTTACTTTTTTATAATAAAAATTAAACTATTTTATTTTTTAGTTTATAAATTTTCTTAGTAACAGCTTCTAGTAGAAACTAGTATTAAAAAACTAGTAGATAATGTATGTTTGAATAATTTTTACACTTACATCGTTAACCTTACATATAAGAATTACCAACTTTAAGAGACAGACGGAAGCTATTTAGTAGATTCTATATTTTATTGATGTTAATACTGACGAAGCGATTTATCAGACCAAATTCTGCTCCCAAGGATAATTTAACTTCACCGAAGAATCTCAACATGAAAAAACAAAACCTAAAATGCAATGCGAAACACTTGAATACGTTCTTCTGCGGAAATTAACTAGAAGCATTCATATTAAACTTTGCAATGTCAGTTTGACAAAGAAAAAAAAAATTATAATGTCATTCTAACGAATATCCAAACCATGTATCAAAATATGAAGCTATATTACTTTGCATCAATTAATATAACTGAATATGCTCCATTCAACGACATTGAATCGACAATTTCGTTCAATATAGTTCTTTAATATTTTGGCGTTGATGCTAAAATGCCTCCCTTTTTTTTTTGAACCACCAGATTTCTAATATGGTAATATTCAGAACTTTGACTATTATTATATATCATATGTAGAAACTTTGAACATTTTGCATGTATCACGCATAAACTTTGACTATTTTTAAGGCTAATTAGCTAAAAATCCCCTCTTCTAGTATAAAATTAAAAACATTTCTTTTTAACTAATTAGCCTTAAAACTAGTCAAAGTTTCTGCATATTACATAATAAAAGTCTAATATTTATAGAAAGTGTGAATTTATGAAGTCAATTAAGTATATAATAAAGTTTCTTAATTCTTTCGTACGTTCTTATCTAGTTTACAAAATTCTTATATATATATATATATATATATAGAGCAATTTATTCACACCAAACAAAGTCTATTCGTTCTTAATATCTCAAACATTATGACGAAACTTATCATTCACTTCGTATTTGTTCTTATTGTTTTATCTTGTACGAATATACACACCATACCTTTGAATTCGAGATATTGTGTTTTTTTTGCAACATTACTTATTATTTAAATCTTTTGCATACAGATTTTTCATCAGAATCTGAAGCGCTAGGAAAAGTACAGCCGGAACCATATCTTTTGTCATTGCCCTGGTGACAGAGATCCTGAATGTGGTTGTCTTCCTCCCATAGATCATCAAGTTCATACTACGTCAACGATTGGTCCTATGCTAACAATAAAAGGTTAACGGGTTGCAAGCCCGATGATTGTATTTGATATGTTAGTTGACACAACCTCGGTAAAATTGTGAAAAGATAAATGTCGAGCAATAAATATTTTAAAATAAAAGAAAATAATGATTATTTTCATTATAATTAGTTTAGCCTTCTTATATTTCAATTATTCGATGGAGTGGTGTGCGTTTGAATTTTATGCAAAAACAAAACAAAAAACAAAAAGAATGAAATAATATGTCTAAATAGTCACAGTGAATCCAACCGAATAAATCTATTGGTATATGTTTTGAATAGTTTATAATTTAAATGGTAATATTTGAATTTGGCTAATTTTTGGAAAAGGTAATTAATTATAAGTCTTTGTAAAAAATAGTTAAGTAAATAAATCAACAAGATTATTAAATTAAATTAGTAAAAACTATTTTTCAATTTGATATTTTAATAATCTTATTAAAATATGATAACAACAAAATACGGCAAAATTGTTTTTGCAACTCGTAAAAAAATTAAGGGTCAATTCGAAAGAATTTTAAATTTAATTTATTCTTACACATCTAACACTTAAACAACATGGACTTTACTCAATTTAAAAAAGAATAATTAAATTTAAAATCCTTTCGAAATTCACCCTTAATTTTTTACGAGTTGCAAAATTTTTTTTTTGCCATATTTTGTTGTGTATCAGATTGTAATAAGATTATTAAAATATCAAATTGAAAAATACTTAATTTAAGTTTTAAGTATTAAATTTAATACTTACACATCTAACACTTAAACAACATGACTTACTCTTTAGTGTAACCAGTTTTTGTTATTTGAGATGTTAATTTTGTGATGTAATATAAACATCGCCTTATAAAAAAAACCTTAGCTTACTTTATTTTTATTGTTTCCACCAATTTGTGTTAAAATCATTTGATTCAATTGATGAAATCTCAAACTTATTTTTCTGTTTGATTATGTTACAGAGTGGTAGTTTCACTTGAGAATAGACTTTGCTTCAAGATATGCTACACAAATTATAGATCAGTTCTTATAATGGCTTCCATATCATTTTTCATATATTTTGTTGTAGAACTCACGAATAATATGATCATTGATTTTTTCTTTTCTTTTTTTAGAAGATGAATTATAATATTTAAGACTTTTAAGATCTTTGTTTTTATAATTTCACAAAAAATGTGACATTTACAATTTCTTCTTCTTTAAATTTTAAATTGAGTTTAGTAATTTTTTTTATTTGTTCTTAACTGAAAATGTAATAATAAATAAAGATCTCTGTAGTATATTGTTTTTTAAAACTAATGTGTAACTTTAAATTTTATTTTCCTATTTAAAATTTTATAAATAGAGTTTATATAAGTTTTTTACTATACCATGCATGTAATCTTACTTCTATTCTAAACTCATTAACTAGTTTGAAAATTTTGAAATATGATCACTTTTAAGTTTGTTTTTGTTTATGTTGAAAGTTGAATTATAATAGTATTACTAATACAATTTTCATAGTATTTTTTTACTATTCAAAATTTTATTTATTTTACTTATTCGTATTTATTTAATTAAACTTTGTATTAATTATAAGTAATATATGGATGCACTAAATCAATATTTTAAATATACTTTAATGTAAAATAATTGTTTTTTGTTTTTTTGAAATTAATGTTAATTATATTCAAAAGAAAAAATGTACGTTGTTTACAACTAGTGCATCGGGAGTTTGAGAACTTAAAACTGAAATTGTGTTTTGCGATTGCTAAGACTTATGTTCGGCTTTGTAGCCAAGCTTGAAAACATTGCTTCGTATCGACGGTCCTGAAGTTTCGAATGGTTGCGATCTGGTTTCGAACTTGAGCATCGATCCAATTGGTTAGCTGGCTGCACTGTTCGGCGCTTCCCCGTGTCTCCGGCCATTCCGCTCCCTCCAAATGGTGTAGATGGTGGCCTTGGAAAAACGTATTTTGTCAAGAACTCTCAACCCGGCAAATTGATTGTGGATGCTTAGGTGGATGCTTAGGTGGAATATGATCACTTTTAATTTTTTTGTTGTTTCTGTTGAAAATTGAATTATACTATTATACATTGAATGAGCCTCGAGGAAGCCATGGAATGGGAATTTGTGTTTGATAACATTGATTATATTGTCAAACTTGTCAAAGAGGCAGTTGAGAAGATGCAGGACCAGAGCTTGGTCTGACACTGGAGAGTCGAGATTAGCAGGAAATCAGAGATTGTTTTGAGCTTTTGACAGTAGGCGTGAACGGTGGAGATCGCCAATCATGGTAGTTGCGAAGCTCGTTTTCAAGTTCCAGAGCACGGGCCTCCTTGTTGTCGCGGAAGAGATTTTCAACTTAGAGCCATAAGTCACGAGCCGAGGCTTTGGTCTTGAGGACCGTGTCAAGGATAAATTCATATATGGTACCGTCATGAGGTGTGGAGGAGTCTCCTCTCTCCCCGCGAGAAACCTCTCCCCCTCGATTCTGAGAGCTGGCTAGAAGTAACTACGGCTTCCTCCTTCTTAGATCTGGTCTCCAGAATCTCTGAACCATCTCACTAGTGGCTACTAGTGAAGAAATTTCACACCTTTTGGTGCAGAACCTTTGTTTCGTTTCCCACAATCTCCATTTTACGCAAGATCTTGAACCTCTCTCCAATGTCTCGAAAGTTTACTTATGCTGAGAAAGGAAAGAGGGTGGCTTCATCTGAGGCTCCTCCCCGTTCTGAGCTCCCTCCCCGCATCCCGCGAGTCCGAGTTCCTGCTTTCGACGATTCTGAGCTGCGCCGTAAACACTCGCTCACAATCATTGGTCGGCTTACAAACCCTGCTGCTCAGCGCCTGTGGTCTATGATTCCCTGCTTGGCGGACCTTTGGAAGACCTCCTCCCGTCCCATTGGAGCTGATTTAGGTCAAGGAAGGTTTCAGTTTCAGTTCGCAAATGAACAAGATCTTCTTAAAGTGCTGGAGAATCAACCCTACCACTACGCGAAATGGATGGTTATCCTTCAACGTTGGGAGCCTACAACTTCGGCGTCCTTTCCTTCCCAAATTCCCTTTTGGATTGATGTCCAGGGAATCCCGGTCCATCTTGGTCACAAGAAACCCTCTCCAGTGTCGCAAAAGGTGTCGGCCATTTCGAGAGAGCGGAGATTACGACTACTTATGCCAGAATAAGAGTGATGGTGAATGGTCTCCAACCCCTTATCAAGCAAACCTTTGTGGACTTTGCTGATGGGAAGAAGCGCTAGCGGACCTAGTTTATGACAAACTGGAGAAGCACTGCAAGAAGTGCAATATGCTAGACCATGAAGACAAAGACTGTCCTATGATTAGGACTTCCAGAGCTCGAAGAGATCCCCCTCCTCCCAGGCCCTCCACCAAAGAAACCTCATAGAGAAGCTGAGGACTCTAAGAAACGATCTCAGGATCGACCTCATGATGTTCCGCAGCATAGAACACCGCATCACTCTGGGACCAAGAGGACTCGCAGTCCTGACCATAGAGAGATTATGGCAACAGGAGTAGAGACTCACACTGGTCTAAAGACAGAGACGGGTATACCAGTAGAAGATATGGAGAGAACAAAAGTCTTTCCCCTCAAAGGTCTTATAGCTACCAACCTTCAGGCCACCACTCCCATAGCCTTCCAGCTTTTGAAGAGAGAAGAAAAACAAGATCTCCTTATAAGTTTGAGGAGAGCAGAAGAAGTTACCCAAGAGTGGCTAATGCCCGTTCCCATTCAGATTCCAGGGTCATCTCTTCTACTTCAAAGACGGCGCACCCGGGACCTTGCCTTCCGGCTCGTGAGGCATCCACTGAAATTCCCAAGCAGCTCTGAATGTAGCAATGGGTGAATTGAGAGATGTGATGATCAAGTATGTAAACTGTGCAGACCCAACAGAAAGCGCAGCGAGAAGAGAAAGATATCGACAAGCAGAAGATCTTGGCCAATTCGAGGAGACAGCTGAACAGATGGTAAGAGCCAGTTTGCAGATTCCTTCTGAAAGACTTCATGAGTCACCTACTACTCTGTCTGGCTCACATTAGAGAATCCCTGCGACTCTCCGCCTTGGACCTCCTGCACTTCCTCAAAGGTTGGTTAAATCAAAGAAGAGGGTCACTGGCAAGAAGAAGCTAGGTCGACCTCCAGGGAAGAAGAATGTCTCCCAAAAGAATCCAAAAATCCCCTTAGTGGGATCGGGTAAAAGGAGAAGAACCCTCCATCCTGTTCCATCACCCCGCAGACGGTTAAATATGGATTCCTACTTGGAGGGAGCTGAAGAAGATGCTACTTTGAATGCAGGACCAAGCTCTGGACCTCTTCATGTTCCTACTGAGGCTAGAGCCAGAGCTTCTCCCCCTTCCCTTCCCCACGACTTTCTGGTAATTCAAAAGGCTCGTCGGATTTTCGGGTCGGGCAAAACCACCTGCCGTAAAAGTGGTTTGCTGGAACTGTCAAGGAATGAGGAATCCTATGACAGTCCAGCGTTTTAGGGAAATTCATAAGAAAAATTTCCCCCGACATCTTCTTCCTCATGGAAACAAAGAATGAAGATTCATATGTATTGAAGACTCTGGACTGGATGCATTATGATCACAGCGCATTAGTCTCTCCTCAGGGACATGGAGGAGGTGGCCTTGCACTTTTCTGGAAGCAAAACATTCAGATGGAAATCTTGTCTGCTTGTGCAAACTACTTTGACACCAAGATAACAGTCAACAACTCCTCCTTCTTTGCTACTTTCCTTTATGGAGAACCGGACCAAACTAAAAGAGGTACCATCTGGAACACTTTGAAAGAGCTGGCCCTGGTCAGAGAAGCAGCTTGGTTCATCTCTGGGGATTTCAACGAGATTCTAGACAATTCTGAGAAGACTGGTGGACAGGTAAGAGCTGAAGGCTCCTTCGTTGACTTTAGATCCTTTGTCTCTGAATGCGACCTTTTTGACCTCAAGCATGCTGGGGAAGCTCTATCTTGGAGAGGAGTTCGACACTCTCATATCGTTAGGTGTCGGCTGGATAGAGCAATGGCGAATTCCTTATGGTCTGAACTTTTTCCTTCGGGTAGATCTGAGTACCTGCGGTTCGAAGGGTCAGATCATAGACCTATTGTAACTTACTTCGCTGAGAACAAGAAGAAGAGAAGAAGTATGTTCAGGTATGATAGAAGACTAAAGGGTAATGAGGAAGTTAAACAACTTGTTGAGGAGTGTTGGACAAGGGACTCCCATCTCACAGTTGGTCAAAGAATTGTAAACTGTCGGCGTGCAATTGTAATCTGGAGTAAGGAGAAGTTTAGAAACTCTCAGATTGAAATAGAGAAGAAGAAGCAAGAACTAGAACAGGCAATGGTAAGTCCTGTGCTGGATGAAGCACGACTGTTAAAAATCAACTCTGAGCTTAATGAAGCTTACAGACTGGAAGAAATCTTCTGGAAGCAGAGAAGTCGGAATCTATGGCTCAGCCTAGGGGACAGAAACACCGGGTATTTCCATGCAGTCACAAAGAAGAGGAAGGCGCTTAATCTCATCTCTGTAATTGAGAATGATGAAGGGGAAGCAGTTTTTGAGGAAAAGCAGATTGTGAGAGTTATCTCGGATTATTTCTGCAAGCTTTTCACCTCTTTAGGATGCAATCAGGCTGACTCTAAGATAATCGTGGAGGAGGCTCTAAGTCACCGCATCTCTTTAGAGGATAATGAAAACCTGATTTCTCTGCCTTCAGCTCTAGAGATTCAGGAAGCTGCCTTTGATATCCACCCCGATAAAGCTCCTGGACCGGATGGGTTCTCAGCTAGCTTCTTCCAATCAAACTGGATAACTGTTGGGCAAGCAATTATTCAGGAAATCCAGGGCTTCTTCTTGTCGGGAGTCATGCCTGCTTCTTTAAATGAAACTCACATTAGGCTTATCCCAAAGGTTCTTGGACCTAGAAAGGTGTCGGATTATCGACCTATTGCCCTGTGCAATGTTTACTATAAGATTATCTCCAAGATAATGACAAAGAGATTGCAGCCGGTCCTTTCTTCTCTGGTGTCAGAAAACCAGTCCGCTTTTGTCCCGGGTAGAGCTATATCCGATAACGTACTCATTACGCATGAGGTTTTGCACTACCTGAAGAAGTCCGTAGCTAAAAAGAATTGCAATATGGCGGTCAAAACGGATATGTCCAAGGCATATGACAGACTGGAATGGAGTTTCATCGAGAATGTTTTTCAAAGGCTTGGCTTCCATGAGAAATGGACCAATTGGATTATGCAATGCGTCTCAACTGTCTCCTACTCCTTCCTCATCAACGATACTCCCTTAGGAAAGGTCATTCCTACTAGAGGTATTAGGCAAGGAGATCCCCTCTCTCCCTACCTATTTATCCTTTGTAGTGAGGTGCTTTCCGGTTTGTGTTCAAGAGCACAAGAGTCAGGAGACCTGCAGGGGATTAGAGTGTCTCTAAGAAGTCCCAGAATTAATCACCTTCTATTCGCGGACGACACAATGTTCTTCTGCAAGTCAAGTGAGAAAGCCTGCACTGCCCTAAAATCGATTCTAACCAGATATGAGATGGCTTCTCGTCAATCTATCAATGGGCAAAAATCGTCAATCACTTTCTCAAAAAAGACACCTGGAGCCAAAAGAAGCCGAGTCAAAGAAAGCCTGCAGATTCTGAAAGAAGGTGGAGTAGGGAAGTATTTGGGCCTCCCTGAACTCTTTGGGAGGAAAAAGAGGGATCTATTTTCATCCATTGTGGATAGAATAAGACAAAAAGCCTTAGGCTGGTCGAATAGATTCCTCTCGGGAGCTGGTAAACTGGTCATGCTAAAAGGAGTACTAGCTACTCTACCTACTTATGCTATGTCATGTTTTCAGCTTCCTCTTTCTCTCTGCAAAAGAATCCAATCAACGTTGACAAGATTCTGGTGGGACTCACCTTCGCAAGAGAGGAAAATGTGTTGGGTGGCTTGGGAAAAGTTAACTAAGGCCAAAAGCTCAGGTGGCCTGGGATTTAGGGATCTACAGCAGTTTAACGTAGCCCTGCTCGCAAAACTCAGCTGGCGGATCCTCAATAATCCACTGGGACTGCTGGCCAGAATTCTTCTTGGTAAATACTGCAGCTCCAATCCTTTTATGCAAGTCAAATGCTCTAAAACAGCCTCCCATGGGTGGAGAAGCATCCTTTGTGGTAGAGATCTGCTATCCAATAACTTTGGGTGGGCAGTTGGCAATGGTGAACTTGCTAAAGTGTGGCAGGATGCTTGGATCCCTGCTGATGGCCTCAAGCAACCTTTTGGACCAGCCACTAAAGAGTCTCAAAACCTTTTGGTTAAAGACCTCTTCTTAGCAAACTCTGTCAATTGGAATGAAGAACTGGTCTCCGAGCTGCTTCCTGAGTGGAAGGATGCTATCCTGACCATGAAACCAAGCCGCCTAAATGCAGCTGATAAGCGAAGTTGGTCCTTCACTTCTAATGGCGAGTATTCGACGAAATCAGGATACTTTGTAGCAAGATCCAAAGAAGACTTGAGGTGGGAATCCTCCCTTGAATCAAACTTCACTGGCACAAGGATGTGTGGAGCTTACATACAGCCCAGAAGATAAAGCTTTTCCTGTGGAAAGCTGTTCAAGGAGCTTTAACCTACTGGCAGCCAACTGGCTAGTCGAGGCATTGTGGCAAATACTTCCTGTTGTAGATGTGGAGAACTTGAAACAGTTGATCACCTCCTTTTCAAGTGTTCTTTCGCAAAACAGGTTTGGGCTCTTGCTCCTTTGATTAACTCTGATGCTGTAAGCAGAGAAGCAGGTGTAAAAGATGGCGTGGCAAATGGAAATAGACTCATTTGTCTCCCCCCAACGGGACTTACTTCAGCCCCGCTCTGCCCCTGGATCTGCTGGAACTTATGGATCTCAAGAAATCAAAAGATTTTCAACAACAGGAACTTCTCTGAAGCTGAAACCCTTCTCAAGGCAATCAAGGAAGCTGTGGAATGGCAAAATGTGCAAATTGACCTGAAGACTGTCCCTTATGTCAAAAAAACCAGCCTCCCGTATCTCTGTTCCACTTGCAGGTAATCTCACAATTACAACTTGTAGAACTGATGCTGCTTGGAGGAAAGATCTCAAGGCGGCGGGGCTGGGCTGGACCTTCTCTTCAACAAACCAGGTGGATTCAAGGAAATACTCTGCATCTTGCAGCTCTGTTTCTTCCCCTCTGATGGCAGAAGCGCTGGCAATGCGTGCTGCGTTATCTAATGCAAAGGATTTATTCATCCAGCATATCAAACTCGAGTCGGACTGCAAAGTTCTAATCCATGCGATTAACTCTCAGTCTAACCTCACGGAGATCCATGGCGTGCTCTCCGATATCTATCTTCTTTCTTTATCTTTTTCAAGCTTTGTCTGTTCTTTTATTCCCAGAGCAGCTAATGTGGTAGCTGATTCTCTGGCCAAATGTTCGCTCTCTTTGTATGCGTCTAAACTCTAATTTCTATGGAAGTTGTTTGTTGCCAAAAAAAAAAAAACCAATCCATCATGTTCCTTCCACTTTTTAGCAGTGGCCGGAGTAGAAGAAGAGGTGCCATCAGAGTGGCCGAGTACGCCAAAGCAGGTAGGGATGGGCATAATACACGAAATCCGAAAACCGAAAACCGATCCAAAAAATCCGGTTCCGAAACCGAACGGAATAGTCACAAAACCCGAACGGATAATGAACTCTCCTTTCCGAATTATCCAAACCGAACCCGATCCAAACCAAAAACTGAAAAGATATCCGAAAACTCAAAATAAAATTATATATCCAAAAATATTAGTTATATTTAGTTATAATTTTATACCCTAAAATACCAAATAACAAAAATATCCAAAATAACCTAGATATCCGAAAAATATTTAGTTATATTTGTTAAAATTATATATATTTTTTTTGCAAAATTTTACCAAATTTTAGTATGATTAAATAAATTTTTATTAAAATTGAACTTTTTAGTTTTTTTTTTCCTGAAAACCAATCCGAAACCGATCCAAATCCGATATTATCCGAACCGAAACCAAACCGAATAGACGTGTAATCCGAACGGATAATGAACTCTTCTACCCGAAATATATGAATCCGAAAAAATTCGAACCGAAATCTGAATGTCCAGACCTAAAAGCAGGTTCAGTGGGTTTCAAAGAGTTCTCGCCAAACTTGGTAGTTGAGCTTGTTCATGTCAAAGGTGATGGGAATATTTTTGATATATACTCTTACAGGTAGCAATTCGAACCCCCGTGGCGTGTGACTTAGTAAGTGACACAACCACATTAGAAAGTAATCAATTGGTGAAAACAGTAGTTTAAGCATATATATATTCGTTAACTAATGTTTTTTTTTTGTGCACCAAAAAAAAAAAAAAAAAGAAGAACGTTTTAATTAGATGAATATAGAAGAATCGAAAGAAAGAAGTTGTTCGAAATAAATTTTTCTTCTACCAATAACGGAACCGTTCGTCTGGGGTTTTGAAAACTAAAGTTAACATGATACTATTCACTACTCGC